GCTGGTTGTCTTCAAGCAGCGGCCGGACGAACCCTCGTAAGGGATGCCCCAGACCTGGGGTGGCCAAACTAGCTTAACAGAACAGCCACACAGAATAAACGTCTCCCCTTTTAACCTCTAAGGTCATCAATACAAAACCAATGTCATACAAAATTGTAACTAGATGGTACCTCACTCCGGAAACAATAGCCAAGAGAACTTCTAATCCCTCTCCCTTCTGCTGGAAAAAACGCAGGGAAGTAGGCTCAGTCTCACATTGCTGGTGGCAATGTTCAGTCATTTCTAACTTTTGGAGCAATGTTTTACAGATGGAGCTGCGGTGGCTCAAGTGGTTAAGACGCTGAACTGCAGGCTGTGGAAGGTCAGTAGTTCAGCAGTTCAAGACCTGAGTGTGCCGCATGACGGAGTGAGCTCCCGTCTCTGGTCCCAGCTCCTGCCAACCTAGCAGTTCGAAAGCAAGAAATTGCAAGTAGATAAATAGGTACCACTTCAGTGGGAAGGTAACAGCATTCCGTGTGCCTTGGTGTTTAGTCATGCCGGCCACATGACCACGGAGACGTCTTCGGACAGCGCTGGCTCTTCGGCTTGGAAATGGAGATGAGCATCGGAACCCTAGAGTCAGATTCGACTGGCTTTCGAGCAAGGGAACCTTTACCTTTTACCTTTACAGTTCACATCTAATAACAGGATGTAACATTCCTTTCTCACCAGAATTCGTTTTTCTGGATAACTGGCAAAATACGAACATCCCCAAAATGAGAAAAGATCTCATACGCAGCCTTTTGGTTGCTGCAAAAAACCTAATTGCATCCAAATGGGAATGTCCTAAATGCCCCAAATTGCAACAACTGGTTTAATAAAAACATGATGGAGAAGATCACGGACCGATTGCAACAATCTGAAATACATCCTAGACAGTCAAGTTTTAAAGAGAAACGGCTCCCATTCTTGGAATATATCCTAAAAACAGAATGCCAGCCATACAATCCAATCTATCTCACTCTTTTACACTCATAAAGCACGCTTTGTGTGATACCGCTGTAATTTATTCACCTTCCTGACTAGCTATGAATACTTGCATCAACTCGTAGGCACCACACAAATTAGTTAAAAGCGTATTACATACACTTATCATGCTGAGTCTAGGTTAGGTAAAGGTTCCCTAGCTCAAAAAGCCAGTCGAATCCAACTCTAGGTTTGCGGTGCTCATCTCCATTTCAAAGCCGAAGAGCCAGCGCTGTCTGAAGATGTTTCCATGGTCATGTGGCTGGCATGACTAAACACCAAGGCGCACGGAACGCTGTTACCTTCCCACCGAAGTGGTACCTATTTATCTACTTGCAATTTCTTGCTTTTGAACTGCTAGGTTGGCAGGAGCTGGAACTAGAGACGGGAGCTCACTCCGTCATGCGGCACACCCGGGTCCTGAACTGCTGAACTACCGACCTTCCACAGCCTGCAGTTCAGTGTCCTAACCACTTGAGCCACCGCAGCTAGGTTAAAGTTTGGTAAAAAGTATTTGTTGATCTTATATTTTATAACAAATCTATAAGGGTAAAATGTGTTTAGTGATTTTGATATTATGAGTTGTTCTTGATGCATATCGTTACATCTACCTCTGTTCCTGTCTATATTGGTGAAAAACAATAAAAAATAAATTGGGGGGGGGAAATAAACGTCAGATGTCGGAGCGCTGCAAGACATGGACAAATATCATACACACGTTTTTATTGGAAAATATGCAAACTTGCTTTTTATTAACATTAAATCAGACTGTGAGAAAGAGCTGCATTCTGGCCGCCCCTGGCCTAGGCCGGTCCTGCACTGAGCAGGTGGTTGGACTAGATGACCTGTCGGGTCCCTTCCCAGTCTCTGTGATTCTCTGATACGCTACCAGTGATTGGGGGGGGGGAGAGAATCATTCAGGAGTCGTTTAGAAGTCTCCCCCCCATCTTCCTCCTCGGGGGGCCACACCCATGGGGCAATCTATCCCCACTGCCACCAGGCCGACCTTGAAGGCGGCCAGAGAAGCCTGTTGCTTCCAGACAGAGCCCCACCGGCCGGCTTTTCTAGGCTCGTGAGTGGCTGCGAATAACCTGAATGGGTAACCCCCGAAATAAGAGGGAAACGTTTCAGCAAACTTTTACTCCAGTCCTATTCCAGAGGATAAAAAGTTTCAGTCACTTCCAATCAGTGCGACAGCAAGACCCAGCGTGGCCTTGGTTTGCCATTCCAGAGTTCCACTTACGACAGCAAATTAGGGAGACGCTGGTGTGGGCCAGAGGTTGGAACCCTATTCTGTACTCAGTTCTTGTGCTGTTAAAAGAGAGGGAACGCTTTAAATGAACTATTCACGCTTTGCATTTGCCTGCTGCTATTGGCCTATAAAGTGCTTCAGGTGCATTATTGCAGTAGAGGAGGAGGAGGAGGAGATTGGATTTATACCCCGCCCTTCACTCGGAGTCTCAGAGTGGTTTACAAACTCCTTTCCCTTCCCCTCCCCACCACAGACACCCTGTGAGGTAGGTGGGGCTGAGAGAGCTCTGACAGAACTGTCCTTGAGAGAACAGCTCTGACAGAACTATGGCTTGCCCGAGGTCATCCAGCAGCTGCAAGTGGAGGAGTGGGGAATCAAACCCGGTTCTCTCAGATTAGAGTCCGTGCACTTAACCGCGACACCAAACAGGGAGAGAGGCCAGGTCGCATTAAAAAAATAACCGCAGACACCAAAAAAATACGCTTCAGGCTCCAAGCTCAAAGCCAAGGCCTCCCTGTGGAAGTCCACTCCGGGGACGGAAGAGCCTGACCTGCTTTGGAGAAGACCCGCGAAAGAGACAAGGAGGCCGCTTCCCCAGTACCCAGCTGCGCTGCTCTTCTACGGCTTCAGGCTTCGCTGAAACTTCCTTCCCCCACGAAGGGGCCCTGGAGAAAATTCCCACTTGCCTGAGGCGAAAAAGGCTTGGCCAGGAAAGAGCCAAAAGAGGGGCTGCATTCTGTCTCCTGGATGGCCATTTGAGCATACCAAGCCCTTGGAGAGCTGCCTCCGAAGTTGATGGGGCAGGGATGCTTGGGGTGGCCACGGTGGGAGGGCTTCTGGTGTTCTGGCCCCGCTGGTGGACCTCCGGATGGCACCGGGGTTCTTGGTGCTGGGGGGGCAACCGTGGGAGAGCTTCAGGCCCCACTGCTGGACTTCCTGAGGGCACCTGGTATTTTTGGCCACTGTGTGACACAGAGTGTTGGACTAGATGGGCCACTGGCCTGATCCAACACTGGTTTCTCTTGTGTTCTTATGTCTGGGGCAGTGATGCCATGTCTTCTTGGCGCTTGGGAGACCACAGTGGGAGGGCTTCTGGAGTTCTGGCCACACTGGTGGTGGACCTCCCGATGGGACCTGGGTTTTGGCCACTGTGTGACACCAAGTGTTGGGACTGGGTGGGCCATTGGCCTGATCCAACATGGCTTCTCTTATGTTCTTATGTCTGGGGCAGTGATGCTCTGTCTTCTTGGCTCTTGGAGGGCAACACTGGGAGAGCTTCTGGAGTTCTGGCCCCGCTGGTGGACCTCCTGATGGCCCCTGGGTTTTGGCCATTGTGTGACACAGAGTGCTGGACTGGATGGTCCATTGGCCTGATCCAACATTGGCTTCCCTTAAGTTCTCATATCTGGGGAAGTGATGCTCTGTCTTCTTGGTGTTTGGGTGGGGCAGCAGTGTGGACCTCCTGATGGCCCCTGGGTTTTGGCCACCGTGTGACACAGAGTGTTGGACTGGAGGGGCCACTGGCCTGATCCAACATGGCTTCTCTTATGTTCTTAAGAAAACTAGTGG